CTCTTAAGAGCATTGTGTAAAACTAAATGTCACACTATGTAAAGCAACTGTTTACGTGTGTTGCACAATGTAATAAATATTTTCTCATACAGTTACTGAAAATTATAAGCTGTGTCAGTGCCACGTGCAACAGATTTGTGCTTGTCAGTGGGACAGTCATTGACCTACATGAGTCTCGTTTTCCAGGTTCCCAGACTTGGCTGTCGAGACCACTCCAGTCCCAGCTTTGTTTTGTTAGAACTTTTCATACAGAGGCTGTTCTCTATGGGACTGTATTTAAGGCACTTTACTGGAAATGGATCAGAAAAGTGCAAAAGTACGACTTTCTGAAGTCTGTCTAGCAGAGAGAGTCACGTTTAGGAACAGCTGTTCTTATTAAGGACAGCCTTTTGGTTTTCAGGCCTTTCCCCGGTGGTCAAACACTTGAGTAGTCCCCTGTATATGCCATTCCGTGCACTTTTCTGTTCTGTTCTTTTTCTTGGTAAGCAGTTTCAAATTCAGGGTGAAGAATAGACTTACCTGGGATAGCAAAGCAACAAACTTTTGTTAGAGAAGTGTACAGTATGAATTAGGGCAGACTGCTCTATAGTTCACATCAAATCATGGAATGTCCCAGTGGAATGAAAAAGAAAGTACGTGACCTGGATATGCTATACACATACCTAAGCACACACACATGTATGCACATGGATAATTGTATGTGTAAGTGTATATACATAGAGTATCTTTATCCCAGTACATCTTCAAAAATATCACATAAAGAACAAATTCCTATCAGGTCATTAAAAGAATGCGTAAACCTGTGAGGTATACCTAACATTTTACGGCTAACGGTGTAGGAGGCAAGATTAGAACTGGGACTGTGTTCAGCACAGGTGCCCATTCAGCAGCGCACTCCCCATGAAAAGGTAGGAGCCAGATTCCCTGGGGTGTGCAGTAGGAGGGAGAACCCAGGAGGTACTTAACTGCCAGAGCTGGGAGCAAAGGGGACAAGCTTAGTTTGCCCAGATACGTCCCCATTTGTTGGGCTGCTGGTTCACACTAGGACCTGCCGTGACAGGAAGGGGCAGGAGTTCTGTCTTGGGCTCCCTCAGCCATGGTGTAGCTCGGTGTTTCCTGTTCCTGGTCAGCCCCGGCCTTTCCAGCGAGCTGAAAGGCTGCAGTGATTCTCAGAAAGGAAGTCACACCTGTTCCCCTCGTCTAGTGAGACTGCAGGGCAAACGCGGCTACAGAGAGGGTCCTTGCAGCACACGGTGGGCTCCCTGTCTCTTTTGGCATTTTCCCTTCCCACTCTTTCCCAACCTACTTATGAGATGAGAGAAAAAGATATAATGGGCTACTTGGCCAAACAGTGTATTTCTGGTCTCTGTTTTCAGGGGTAAATGAGATGCTTGAGGGGGACAATAGGGAAGTCAGAGAGTTCTTTGACAGTTAGTAATTTACACCTGTCACTGTAATCATGTATTTCTGTGTGGCTCTCTGGGTGGATTTCTCCCATCCGGGTCTCCTTTTTTATTTATTTTTATTTACTTAATTTGTTATGGTTTGGGAACCTTAATAGTGTGACGGTTGCCCTACTCTGCAGCTTCTTTTGTGTTTACTAGTCCTCCAAGATTTCCAAGTTTAACCTCTAGGGTCTACTGCAGTTCCCCTCAAATCACTAACTGTTCATCCATCTCCCTGGGCCATATCTGCCTCCCAGACACAGAGCTCAGCGGAGAGGTCAGGAACGAGACGGGCACGTAGGAAGAATTTCCAGAAGGGGCATCGTTGCACTTTCAGTGAAACAAAATGAGATGCCTGATTGGTTTTAACCGTGTGAAATGCTATCAGAAGTGGCATGATAATGATGTCCTGAGACCCATGAGAAGAGGAAGTTAAAATAGAAGTGACTCGTAGAATAGATAAACAAGATTATACTGTATAGCACAGGGAAGTATATACAAGATCTTGTGGTAGCTCACAGCAAGAAAAATGTGACAATGAATACATGTAAGTTCGTGTATAACTGAAAAATTGTGCTCTACACTGGAATTTGACACAACATTGTAAAATGACTATAACTCAATAAAAAATGTTAAAAAAATAAAATAAAATAAAATAAAATAAAATAAAATAAAATAAAATAAAATAAAATAAAAATAGAAATGACTCTTTAATCACAACTTTTGTATGAGGCGCAGATGCACCGAGACTGACTCGCTGGGGTGATAAATCCCAGTCAAAGCGTTTTTTCTTTCTTTTTCTTTTCTCCTACTCCCCTGTTCCTGAACAGATCTTACTGGATTAAGATTGACATGCTGAGCATTGCCACCTCTGCAACATCCTCTTTATACCCTTAACTGTGGCAAGTTGCTGTTTGGCACACGTCTTTTTAAACTGCACGGTTTAGTCATGTCGTTATCATGACCGCGGTTCACCTGTGCCACCTAACACAGAATTTGAGGACTGTTTTACTTCTGTAGTCGTATTCGCCAGAGAAACAGAGAAGTGGAATCAATCTGAGATATATATATATCTCATATTGCATATATATACACATACATATGTACATACATATATATACATACATATATATGTATGTATATATACAGGAGATTTATCAAGATAAATTGGCTCACATAATTATAGAAGCTGAGATGTTCCAGATCTGCCCTCTGTAAGCTGGAGGCCCAAGTAACTCAGTGTAAATCTAGAAGCTTGAATATCAGGGTAGCCATGGCACAAGTCCGAGTCTAAGGACAGGAGAAGACCTGTATCCCAGCTCAAGCACGTACATGAGCAAATTCTTCCTTCTTCCACATTTTTGGTCTTTTCAGGTCCTCAACAACTTAGGTGATGCCCACCCACATCGGAGAAAGCAAACTGCTTTACTGAGTCCACAGATTCAACTCTAATGTCATCTGGAAACAAGATCCTCAGGGACACACCCAGAAAGACTGTATAATCTGGGCACCCAAAGACCAGTCTAGTTGACACATAAAATTAATCATCACATTAATTTTCCTGCTTTATTTTTATTATATTATGATCATAGGGATCATATATTAAATAGTATTAGATGACATTGCCCAGCAAATGATATTTCCTAAAGTCTCACCTTTTTTAGCCTATTTAGGACAAGTCTCAATTTGGCCACACTGAATCCAACTTTGGAAAGCCAGTATCAGTGTTCTAGCACTCTGTGATAGCCCCTCTATATGGTCAGCTGAGTAATTTCAGTTTTAGAAAGCCATTTCCTGTAACATGACCTAACAGGACACAGACTGATCAGATTTACTTATTTTAGCTGGTGGACACAGGACAGGGGAGAGCATTCTGACACAGGAAAATGGGGCACAAGAGGATGGCCACATTCTAGGTCCCAGGCAAGTCCCTGGAAGTGCCCCATCAGGTGAGGGTCCTTGGCTTTGCGCAAGAAAGAATTCAAGAGGAATAGTAGAGTGAAGAGCCATAGTAGAGTGAAGGTAGTTTATTCAGAGAGATGCACACTCCATAGACAGAGTGCAGGCTGTCTCAGGACAGAGAGGCCATGAGGCATGAGGGTATTTAGCTTAAGTTAAAGCAGATACACACTCCACAGACAGAGTGTGAGCCATCTCAGAAGGCAAGAGAGAGTAACCAAGCAGGTTAGGACACACAACATTCCAAAGGCAGAATGCTGGCCATCTACAGAGGGGAGAGGGGAGAGTGGCAGCCTCAGAGCAAGGGGGCATCTAGGGGAGTGAGAGCAGCTGTGAGGTATGGGGGTTGTTGGTTTTTTGGGCTCTGCACCTTCATATGCTAACAAGTGGGAAGATTATTCCAACTACATTGGGGAAGGGGCTGGGATTCCCAGGAACTGGGCCACAACCCACTTTTTGGCATCTTACGGTGGGCCTTGGAACTGTCATGGTGCCTGTGGGAGTGCCATTTCCCATGCTGATGTATTACAATGAGTGTATGAGGATCAAGGTGTCCTGGGAGTTGAATCTTCCGCCATCTTGGTGCTAACGGCTGTGTCATTCCTTGAATGGCTGTGCCCTGCCCTCTTCCCTCCTGTCTCAATGCCAGTATTGCTGCCTCAGGTGGGCCCTCAGTGTGTCCTCATTGTGGTAAAGGAGAACTTCCTCTTTCTTCCTGACAGCTCCTTTGTAAGGAAACTAGGCAAGATGGATTGTGTGAAATGACATTACTTAGGTTATTCTTCAAAAGTTCTTCAAAGGATGGATTCATTTGAAGAGCCCTGAGAACAGCTGAGACAGGAATAAAAATGCAGTCCCTGGCCCACCAGGCTCAGGCACAAAAGCCTTGTCATTTCGTGGGGCCCTGTGTGGAAGCCTCCCATTGGTCCATAGTTTCTCTCCTCCTTTCCTGCCTGTACTCCACCCCCAAG